GTAACGGAATACAGTTACTCATATTTTGTATTCTAAATACGTAACGGCGGTACATGTATTCCGTTACTCCCCAACACTGGACTTAAAGACCGGATTCAGCCATCAATAAACGGCTCGCTCTTTGTTAAATCATAGATTTGGTACAAGTGTCTGCATTTGGGTCCACCTCCTCTCTCCACATGGTCTGCCAGCACAGACCCATGACAAATGGAAATGAGGTAGATGGTGCAGTTTTCTTGAATAGCCAGAAACAAGCAAGGGGGTTTGTCATAATCTATAGCAGCATTAAATTTAAAATAAAGTGAGTTTGGACCAAAAGCATTTTAACTCCGTTTAAAAATTACGGTGCTTTCAGATGTCTCATTTATTGTCACTGTCAGCTTTTATCTTCGATGTCACAATGTTGCATTCAGTCATCATGGTATGCTTTAAACTCTTTGCCTGTACACCCTTTGCCCCCTGTGATCACTGCTTCAGATAAGCTATACTGAAATATAGGGTACAATCCTCTGACTGACAAAGAAGGATAACCCTGCTGCACTCTAGTGTCACGAAGTCTAAAGTTAATAAAACTTGCGTACTTCTAAAGTCGAATCCATCAGTGAAAGTTCATGACCGCAGCACGACTTCAACTGACCTACAAAGTGCAAACACCACTGAGAAAGTAGGGCATGTTTTATGATCGATCACTACATTTCATAATCCTCTCATTGAAATTTTTAGAATGTCTGAAAATTTCTAGATTAGAACAAAAGAAGTGAATGTAGAGGAAGAGTCCAATTATTTTCTGTAGTGATATTTGGTGTAAAGCAAATATTTTTAATAAATGCACCAATATATAAAAGATTCAAAGTTTGGTGAGGTTTGTTAATACCATCTTGGAGCTAAAAGTTACCCATCTATTGAGAATGTGTTTTTACATTTTGCCAAGAAAATGCTGGAAAACATTGTGAAACAGTTTGATCATTGATTCAGTAATCAAACTAAGTGCAGTGTACTTTGATTTGAACATATGTTTCTTGGTTTTGGTGCAAGCGCAGCAACAAAGCAACATGTACCTGGCACTTTGACTCCATGAACAGTGGCTTCTTTAACGCAGTCAGCCAGCACGAGGATGTCGGCCACCTCAGCTGTAGCTACGTTCTCTCCTTTCCATTTGTTGACATTTTTTGTTTTCAGTGCTCTGTGTGAGCTCACATTTTTAAGCATTATTTCAAAACATGCGCTCACCTGAATGTGTCGTCAACACAATCGTGGAAGTACATGAAATTATCCTCATCGATGCGCAGCAGGTCGCCGGTGTTGAAGTACAGATCACCTTTCTTGAAGACGTTGTGCAGCTTCTTTTTCTCAGTTTGCTTCATGTCTCTCACATAACCAATGAATGGAGCTTTGGCTGTTATTTCAGTCACCAGAAGTCCAGGTTCACCTGATCAAAGTACAGGAGAAGTCATATTTGGGGTTGTTATATTTTAAAGGCAAGATGCATGAGACATGCTGTAAAGACATTGCATTTCTGAGTCTTTTAAACTTTCATTTTGTGCGTGGTGAGGTACACTGTGGCTGAGAAAAGGAACTGTGTAGATTTGGATTAAGGCATATAAAATGTTTATAGCATTTGAAAAGATGCATGGGTGAGAACTTGAGAAGAAAAGAGAAGAAAAAAAGATATTTTGCGTTATAACCTTCCTGGAAGTAACACACCTTTCTCAACCTCTATGAAGAAACCATATGAATCCCTCAAATGCTCTCCTTTGTCTTTGATCACAGCATATGGAAAAAAACATCTACAAATTCAAAAGAAAAAGCTAACACACTGCTTCATACTTCACAGTATGAGCTGAAACATGGATCTTTACCTGTCTCGCCCATGATCTCCCATTTTGCTGCTATATTTCAGAGAGCTATGCATCAACAGAGCAAATTTTCCCTCAGTTGATGCATAAAATTCACTGATTTGAATTTCTCCAAATCGTCTCACAAAGTCCCTCCAAACATCTGCTCTGATCCCGTTGCCTACTGCAAGTCTGACTTTGTGGATTTTATTACTGAGTTTCTGTTTGAAGAGAAAAAGAAGAGATAACGGATAATTTCACCTATGTACTGTATGGTAAATGGTAAATGGCCTGTATTTATATAGCGCTTTACATATCCAGTCATCCACCCATTCACACACTGGTGATGGCAAGCTACAGTGTAGCCACAGCC